TTTAAAAAGAAAAGAAACACTCCCTCCCTGGTACAATGTCCCCACACCCCTCCCACTGCCCCAAGTACATTCCACTATGCAACCTTAATTGTGGACAGAATATACCATTTTTATGAATGACTTAAATAGAAAATTTTATACTCCTTTGAGTTTTATTCAAAGAATAAATGTAGCAATGAATTTTTCAACATGTTATTCAAATTAGTATGCTTAAATGAAATATCTGATATAGTATTGGTAGGGAGCTCTGGTGGCATAGTGGTTGGGGAGCAACTTCAAGGGACAAAGGTGGACAGTCTCCTCCCATGTGATTTAGAGCTTTGGGATCAGCTGTGAATTGATTTCAGTCCTGTGAAATGATTTTGAGGGTTTTTATATTATTGATCCAGTGCTGTCATGTTGTTTCCAACTCATAGTCACCTTTCTTAGGGTTCTTTTGGGAGCTGTAAATCTTCATGGGAGGGGACTGTATAGCTTGCCTCTGTTGATTGACAGGTAGATTCGAACTGCCAACCTTTTAGTTCACAGTCCACCCTATAACACATTATACCACCAAGGTTGGTGACATAATATATAATGCATTGCACTCCTAAAAAAGGTCAGTGGTTCAAATCTACCAGCTGCTTCTTGGGAGGAAGATGGGCAGTCTCTTTCAACAAAGATTGTTTGTAGCCTTGGAAACCTGATGGTGTTGCTATGAGTTGGACTAGACTCTATGGCATTAGCATCTTGATAGATTGAAAATTAGAACATCAGAACATTAATAAAAGACCGTCAGAAATTTATATCTTGTAAGGCAAACTAAAATGACAACCTAGGTCAGATGTTTTTAATTGGGAAAATTATTTAAAGGCCATTGCTGCTTTTTATTTTAAACATGTATCTTTCTAGTTTGGTCAGTTTTTAGAACACTTAACAAAAGTTACAGATAATGTTAATAGCTAACATTTGTTGAGCTACTAACATGCATGTAACTTTGTCCTACATGCTATACATAATCTTTTAATTTTTTTTATAACATCCCTATAAGGTAAACACTATTTCATCTTCATTTTATAGTTAGGAAAACTGAGGTTCATGGGAGGGTAACTGCAGCTAGCAATTGATGGATCTTCAGTTTCAACCTAGGACAGTACACAGTTTATATATTTGCATGTTTACATGTATGTTATATGTAAAAACGTGTATTTTTTTTTTTTTTTAAACTGGAAGCACTCCTTATAGCAGCTCTCTCAGTGTAGTCTGTAGTTCCTTGTAGTTCTCTATAGGAAGTGCTTTCAGTAATCTGAGAAGTGAAAAGTACCTTTCATAATACTAAGGCGGTGTTCACATTTTCCACTGTGCTGACATTTGCACTGATAATGGAAAAGCAATGAGTGTAAACTTTTAATCCTCAAGTGTAAGTCATTTGTATTAAACGGTATTGATAGGTTTTGTATTTATTACAACCAAGTTTTTAAAGTAATTCCCATTTCATTCAAGAATTTTATTAATGTGTTATTTATCTTATTAATTATCTACCACAGAATACATGCGGCTTTTACTATCTCATCTTAATAAATGGTATGCTTAAAATACTTCTGTCTCTGACATTTGGCTATTGTTTTCAGGAAGAGTACTTGTATAATTAAAATACAAGCAGAACTACTGACCCTTTAAAACAGTATACTATTTTTATTTGAGGAATGACTGACTGTTACACACCATAGTGTGTTAGTATTATTGCATACTTAACATATATGTTATACATGTGAGTATATATTTAAAAAGAAGTTTTTTCAATTATCAGTGGCAGTGAGATTTTTTAAGTAGTAACTTGGTTTCCATTTCAATGAATGATAATTTTGGTAGATCATAATTCCATTTCTATGTAATAGCCGTAATTGCTAAGTCATTAAATATAACTATGTTGAGTATATGGTAGTCCTTTAAAATATTTTAGAAGTTTTATAATTAATTCATCACGACTTGTATCTAATACTTCTCTTCATAGTTGCTGTTTGACTTGACCCGTGATACAGGAGTAACACAATACCAAGGGGGATCAGCACTTTCAATAGCAGGTTGGTTTTAGCAGTTATTAAGAAAAGTTATTTAAAAATGTTATAAACGTATAGGTGGAATTAATTTTCTGTTTTTCAAGCCTGTACCCGTATATTAAATGTTTCATACATTGTGAGGTAGAATGATAATAGTTTTTTGGGGTTTTTTCCCTCCAGTTTTGTTTTCTTTAAATTTTACATTGGTTTGTATACAGATTTCATATACATTGTGTTTCATACATTACACATTGTCCTTCATTCAAGTTATGTTTCATACAATCATTATTATGTTTTATAAAATCAGTCACTATTAAACCATGTCTATGATTACCCTGTCTTTCCAGATCCCAGCTGGATCTTTCCCATTTCTTTTCCCTCTCTTTCCTTTGTTGTTGTTGTTGTTATGTGCCGTCGAGTCGTTTCCGACTCATAGCGATGCTATGCACAGCAGCCCTAAACCCTGCTCTATCCTGTGCCAACCTCACCACCTCTGACACACCCATCCCGATTACCCCAGTCACCGAATCAATCCATCTCATAGAGGGTCTTCCCCTCCTGCGCTGTCCCTCCACCTTCCCAAG